CCCCGCTCCACCGAGGCGCGCACAAATCCAGAAACGACTATCGAGTTGAGCTCAGTGTGTACTGCCCATATTTAGGGTTCATGTCCCTCACTTACCTGCTACTCTGAGTGCTCCCATGACACAGCACTGGCCCTGCTGCATCCAGAGGCTCAAAACACCCTGCGGCTTGCACTGCTGAACATGGGTCCAGCTTGTAGAAGGCTCCTCCATCACCCCAGAAAGCCGAGGTGATGGTTTGGTACTGCTGCGCACCATGCTGCTTTCCCGAGGTGGCCTGGGAATACCTCAGCTCGGTGCTGCCGTAAGAATTGGGCACGGGCTGAGCTCTCTCATTGATCCAGGCATCCCAGAGCCTCACCGCTACAAAATCGGCACATTCAAGCTCGCTGGGATATGACCCAGCGCTTCCAGAGGAAGCTCATGTCCCCCCCAGCAGCCCTGTGCAGGAAGCAAGAGTGGAAACAGACAACCCACGGCTCCCAGCAGAAAGGCACGCAGCCGCCCTGCAATCCTCTCCAGCTCTGCTCACAGCCCACATTGCCCCATAGCTGGATCGAACCCCAGCAAGCAGGGACAAAGTCCCACAGTGTCCTGCTGCAGCAGGAGCAGAGGCAGCAGAGAACGCACCACTGTAAATGCTGACCCCCTAAGTGAACAAGCAGCAGTTTCAGCTTCCCCAGAAACCACAGTATGGGGGTAAGTTGCCTCGGCGGCTCAAGCGGAGAAGGGCTGAGGTTGTGGAAGTCCTCGTCCCATCTCCGCATTCACCACACTAGGGGGAATCAGCACTCCACATTTCTCCCTCGAGCAGCCGCTGAACTGAGAGCTCTGTGCTGGCCCAAAACTCCCCCGTCCTCATCTTGCATCAGCTATAGCTGCAGAGGAACAGACAAAGAATACTTTATTGAGGCTGCTGGACCCAGAGCAGCCTCCACATCTGCACAATATTCCCTCGAGGGACCCCACCACCACTCAGAGAAGAGCGGGCACCAGCCTGCCTAACCCCAGGATCTGCCTCTACCAATGGTCTTTTACTTCACCAGAGCTCGGGCTCAAAGCTTCCATAGTTGCTTGAGACGAGTCAAAGGTCTCTCCCTACTGAGGGGCTGGGTGGACGGTATGCTTGAGATGCAGGACCACACTGGTAAGTGCTGTGGTCATGCTGAACAGCAGCATGGTGCCCCCCTCCCCACTCACGGGTCTCCAACATCCTAGATGCAGGCTTAAGACTCACCCATAAGAGAGCAACTCCTGAGCAAGACCACAAACAACTGGATCACACACAAATTATGGCACACAGAATCTGTTAGGCTAGGCATGCTTTAAAAAAATCAGTTTATTTTACCTTACAAATGATAAATAATTTGTTTTAAAAAAATCAAGTGTGTTTTACTTCATGTTGCAATATCAAAATCTCTCCCTTCTCCCCCCTCAAGTGATCAATACAAAAATAATTGTGACCAAATTATTGTCAAAAATTCCTGTATTTTAGGCAAAAAGGCACATTGTGAAGGCTTTTCACCAGGAGGTACAGGGGTTCATAATGACCCTAACAGCCTCTCTCCCCTCCCTGCTTGTTCTAACTTGAGTGGAAGAGGACAGAGTAACCAGGCAG